TGGGAAATGGGTGGCAACATAAATCAATGTTATGTAATTGATGATCATCATCAACAAACGAAGCTGAAATACCTAAGTAGGAACACTGTTGATTGTTGTCAGTCCATAGGTCTGGACATAAACAAAGGGAACGATTTTTAATTGCTGAAGATAACAACTTCTTCAGTCGTGCACGTTCCACATCGGCTAATTCATGTATGTGTGAAGAGATTGTTCCAGATGAACGCAGAATTTCATTAACATTAATATTTCCATATTGAGCGCCTATAATTGATAAAAACTCAAGATTTTGTTGAATATATACGCGAAAGATATTTATGTTTTCACTCATCTGAGATTCATTGGTTTTTAACTTTTTAATTGAGAAAGAATTACTAATGTTACTTATCTCTATACACTTTGTATAGTTCACCATTTCTTATAAATGATGTACAGATTTCAATGTTCAAAATACTCCAAAACTACTTCAGAGAAAAACCAAAACAATCAAACAAAACATTTATTACCGATAGATACACAACGTTGTGCAATACTCCGAAAACCATCATCATCAACAATAGCAAAAGGGCGCATGTCCTTGCATATCCATCGAACAACTAGATCTTTCATATCTTTCGAATAAGAATCGGGTAAACGAACAATTTTCGGTTGACTATAATTGGTAATTAAACTTTGAGAAGATGTGTCACGAGATGATGGCAAAGTGGATTTGGTTTTTTGATCAGAAGATAAGCAACTATGTTTGTTGAGAAAAGTGGTGCTGTTCGAGACATACGAATAAGTAGTGAAACATTTCTTGCATGAAACAAAGTTTGGAATCTTTTGAGGGGCACCATTGGTATCAAGTACAGCTGGAAAACCAAATGAACGCCAACATATAGCTGAGTTTTTACTATTTGAATTGTCGAGAATGACATAATGAGCTTTATCAAACTTCAAATGGCGCTGAATCTTTTCACGAGTATAATTTTCACTAGATGACGATGCAGATGAAGAAACACGAAGATCAACGGACGACAATGGTGAGGATGCTGATGAAGTTGATGTTTGTGTTGATGGTGAAGATGGTTCAGGAATGTGTTGATCGAATTGATCAGAATTCATTTTCTTTTCAATTCACTTTAAACTGCACAATGATAATGATAAATTCAAAGGAGGAGAATCGAAGATCAAGGCCTTTTCGAGTTGTTGTTGAAACTGCACACGAATAGAAATGTCCAATAGATGTCAGTGAAAGTCATGAAAAAACAACTTTTCAAGATGATACGGGAGTGCGGTATAACGATCTCATACCGCATACCGTACCGTACCGTGGCTTATCCATACCGTACCGTACCGTACCGCTCTACTTCTTTTTTTTTCAATACCGTCCCGTCCCGGTACGGTACGGTACGGTACGGTACTGATACCGCATACCGCCGGTCTCTGGTGTTAACCATCTAAAAGTGATCTTACTATGAAAAAAACTAATATAGATATTGAAACTTATTCATGTGTGGGATATAAGCACCAGGCATAAAAAATATCATTGTTTTTTACGCGCTACAAACAATCCGACTTTTCATTGTACGAATCCGAACAACTCCGAGCGGACGTTCGGGTTCGCTTCATGCCTATAATTAAACATATTTTCTCTACGTCTGTTGTCACTCAATGAAATTCTTATTTTTATTCATTATCTAACCAGACAGAAGTCCTGCGATCTCTCTCTCCTATGGATACTTTGTTTTTCTAATAAACACGTTAAACATTCATTCAAAATGTCTTTATGGAAAAGAAAATTGAATTAATTAATGAATTAGAATGAAAATTAACTGATATTTATATTGATTCAAAAACGAAAGGACAAACAGCATTAGAAGACGTTTTCAAACAAAACTAAATCTTGTCTTGTATCTTCTTTATAAAACATTTGTAACTACGAAATATTTATTTAAAGAAAGATAAATAAGTGAAAAAATAAATAACTGTTTTTGAGTTAAGACTAATATAGCAGTAGACATTCACGATTCTCTCTTTCTCAGCAGAATGTCTACCATCTCCCTATACTGAATACTTTGGAACAGTTCCATTGATGTTCACATTAGAGAGGTTTTACTATACAAATATTTCTTGTGATACGTCATTCTTTATGTCGTTGAAACAAGTTTCTTTCTCTCTGTTACAAATCTGTAGGTAATTTCTTTCTTTTCTTTTTATAATTGTGAGTCTATACCTATAACACAATACAATAAATGCGGAAACCTCGGATTGAAATCCGAGTGTTATGTGTACTTCAAAAAGTAAAGACGATAACAAATTAGTTTTAATGAATTTGTGTAAAGTAAATCATCCTTGAGCGCGCTAAGGAACCACCCCTTAGGCCCTGCGGATGCCCTCTTTTTGTCCCGTAGGACGTGGCGAGGAGTTAGTTCCACCGAAATAATTACTTGCATCAACGGAAAATTTGTTTTATCGGTTTTCTATATCTTTGATAAAAGCACTTCTATGTTATAAACTCATGTTTATTATGTCAAAATGCGGTACAAGCTGAGGAGGATTATGTTGAAAAGGCAAAAGAGCATCATAATGTGAACCGTGTAATAAATACAAAGTCCTATTCTGTTTCTGTCCGATTCATATCCAAGGTATATTAAATGACCACCTACTGTTTTCTTTTTAAATCGATCGATTAATTCCTGCAAACTAATATTTGATGGAATAGAATGTATGTTGTTTCGATTTGGATCTGAGTTAAACTTTATATATGAATATATAGGACGAGATAGTGCTATAGATAGAGCTTGAATTTGCACTTCTCCTCCCCATACTTTATGTGTAGCAGTTCTTTCCAACTGCACTTCAAATGAATTTCCCAGTATGTTATAAAGTGTTTGGAAATAATCTTTATTTTGAATCATTGCATTAATTGCCAACAATCTCATCAAATGTGTTAGTTTCTCAGAGCCAACATTTAATATTGAAAGAGAACTATATAAACAATTTCCATCGGCAGTCGTCCGTGTTCGAGCATAAACTGAATCAAATGTTTGAACAGAATATTCTGCTCTTGTTTCTAACCGCACAGATTTATCTTTATTTGTCATAGTTATAAACGGTGATTTTTCAATTAAATCAGTGATTATTCCAGCTTGACTTGAGATTTGGTTAGCGTCGATAATATTATCAAAATCAAATGTAAAAAGAAAACGATCAAGAATTTTCCTCGAATTAGAATCAATGATTTCAAACAGCCCTGAAGAGTTTTCTTCAATTTCCATCATATTAGATGGCTCATTAACGCTGAGATCTTCTAATCGTAAAGACATATCTAAGTCGATATGTTCGTTTTCATCGNTCCAGTTTTTCTTCATTGAATTTAATCCATATTCGACATGGTACTGTTTCATTAGTTTTCTGAAGTTTTCCATAATCAATCATCACTAACTTTCCACAAGCACCATTGACTAATCCATCTTCTGTATCAGAATTGACTGTCAACATATACTTAGCACCCACTTTCAAATCGATTTTAAGTGGTAAGCCATAAGTTTCAGTTGTTTTCAGATTCTTTACATTGTTCAACACTTTTTCTTTTAATGATGCAAGTCCATCACCTATACAGAAGTCATATGCATTGGCAGTTGCACCTTCGGTATTAAGATTAGCCAATACTTTTGTATTGTATGCATCAACTTCAGCATTAGTTCTGAATATTCTCATAGCATCTTCAACCATTACTAGGCTTTCAGTAGAAACAATTCGTGACTTTAACAGATGAATATCTTCATCTGTCATTGTTCCTTTGGCTATATTACTTAATGCAATGGCAAAAGTCTTATCATCCTTTTGTCTCATAATTTCTGTTAATTCAAACAATTCAAACAATGACCATAATGGACTATCTACTAAGGCATTATATGAATTATTAAACTGAAATATGTATTTATCACCAACTGGTCTTAATTGATTAAAGTCGCCTAAAACTATGACTGATATTCCACCAAATGGTTTCTTTGTTCTCATTATTTGTTGCAAACGTGCATCGACTTGTTGAAACATTGTAAAACCAACCATTGATATTTCATCTATGATTAATAATTGTAAGTCTTTTAATTTGACTCCAATTCTGTTCGAAACATCACTATTCAGTTGGACAAGCTTATGCTTGCATTGATTTACTGGTAAACTTAAAAATGAATGCAAAGTCATTCCATCTATTAATGCTGCTGCTTTGCCAGTTGGTGCACATAGCGCAGCACGAATACTATCTGGATTATATCCTGGTAATGAGTTATGAAATCTCAGTATTGATTGATACACTGCTTTGATTAGAGTGCTTTTGCCAACACCTGCACCTCCATTGATGAAATGAAAAAATTGATTTTCACCATTTTTAATCAAATTCATTACATTTATAGTATATTTCCTTTGATTACTATTAAGATTTCTCATCATTTGCTGATATTCCGTGTCCGGTATCATTTTGGGAACATTAAAGTGTTCGACTTTATCAGTCTTAGTATTTATTCCCATTTCAACAAAAATATCACCTTCCGTATTTCCTATTTCATAAATGAGAAATTCATTTTTATCTTGATCGTATTCAATATTTGTATCATCAATACCATCGTCATCTTCTTTCGTTTCCATATATTCTTCGAAAGATTGGTCGAATTCATTAGCTTCACGATGAATATATTCAGATCTTTTCTGTTGCATTATATCTTTGTACAATTCAAACTTCTCTTCATGATTTATATGAATAAGTTCTTCTTCTTCTTCATTAGTCCACAGTAGAAACAGCATCTTGAGGTAGCTTAAAGTATCTATATCTTACGATTTTCCGCTTTGTTCTTTTTTTAATCCAACCTTTTCCATTTTTCATCTTCAAAGCAGTAGTTTTATCATCATTTTCATCTTCCGTGATATTTTCATCATCAGAATTTCCTGTGGTTTGAGCAATATCTGTTCTTCTCTTTGAGATATTATACATTGAGGCGAAATCAGCCAAGCAAACATCTTTCATTTCGTCAGGTCTACTAGCATACATCTCAATTAAACCTTCGACAAAAACATCTTTTGAATCAGAATCTAGTTTCTGAAGAATTTCATCTGATTTGAGCATAGAAATTCTATTTTCAGGCTTATTTGTATTAATAAATATAGTACTTCTGCTACTGATGGAAAGTGGAATACTTAAAATATGATAAACAGTTTCTTGTGTTGAAATTTCACTTGAATTCAAAAATTTATTGGCAATAACTCTGAGACGTTCTCGAACTGTGTTATTGCCTTTTTTTTAATTCTTTCAATGCTTCTCGTAGAAGTTTAGACATGCCGTTTTCAGATTTGTTGATGTATTCAACACAGTACTTTAAGCATGCATAAGGATCAAGAATGAACTGAATGTCTGTGCCAACATCCATAGTGATCTTATTCAAAATATCTCGTAGACAGTTAGTGAGGTATACCCAAGGGGGAAACAGCAAACTCCAAATTTGTAACAGAAGTTCTAAAACTCTGAAAGTTCCGGAGTACAGTCTAAACTACTCAGAGTAAATAAAATATGCCGGAGGCCGATGTGGAGTATGTATGGGAGTACGGGAGTATCACATGGAGTACAGAATTACAACACGGAGTACGGGAGTACGGGATTACATCACGGAGTACGGGAGTACCGACTGAAATATGTGAATTTCATCCAAAAAAGCCATATTGACAAATTTGTACTCCCGTACTCCCGTACTCCCATACTCCAAGTGTATTCCGAGACTCCCGATGTACTCCGGTACTCCAAATGATACTCCTATACTCCGCCGTTAAATTTCCGTACTTCAATTTGAATTCAGCACTATAATCGATTTTACACGTTCTCAAGCAAATTCAGTGGCTAAACAGTGTTATAAATCCTATTGGAACATGACCAATGAAGGGTTGTTGCCGCAGGATCCTCCAGACATTAATTAAGATCAAATCTATAAATGAGATCCTGTCTCAGCTTTATGTTTGACGTCTGGAAAACATCCTTTTGTAAGCAAAACGTTCTTAGACATCGAAGAGGATATTATTTCGTATAAATAAAACTGAAAAAATCCAATAAACGCTCGGAGTTTTGGAGTACGGGAGTACCGTTTGGAGTATGGGAGTACCGCTGGGAGCATGGGAGTAGTATCTGGAGTACCGGAGTATTGGGATCCTGGAGTGCCGTTTCCCCCTTGGGTATACCACCGCTTGATAATTACATACCTATATATTGTTATGTCAGAATTACCCCATACCTTCAGGACCTTGAATTAAGAGACTTCTCTTTTGATCATTTATATAATCATATCAGAGTGGATATTCTATGCGTATACGTAATGGAATCCTTAATACAAAGGATTGATTATGAAATGTGAGTGAACACGAATGATGTAATATGCTTAAGAAAGGAGTATATAAGGAACGAGTAAAATGGTAAACGGAGAGTCATATTAAAGAAGAATTGTCGTGCAGTGGTTATCGATGTACATACCCTTCTTTTTCTGTGCTTGTGTATAACTTTTTACTTTGTTCAAATAAATATCAGTGAACTCGTAACAACGTCTACGAATCAAAACCTAATTAAAACGATTTGATTCAACCAATTGCCTAGATCAATTAGAAAGTTGTTACAATGGAAAAAGAGTATTTACAATGTCTCAATCGTCAATTATTATCTGCTAACTATTGGTTATCAAAAATACCGAAAAATCTAACACATCGGTATTCTATCAGTTGGGATTATCCTCGAACAAAAAATAATATTCAACATAGGCAACGATTAACTGAAAATAAATTAAATCAAATGATTCGACAACTAATGCGTCATTTAGACCAGAATTCATCATGTTGTTGGTCAGCCACAGGTCAAACATCGATCAATCAAATGGTGACTATCATATCTGAATCTCTAATTACTCTAATTAAAAATGATCTACAAACATTACATACAAGATTTGAAGAAAAGAAAATCTTAATAAAATACGATGTTTATGATATTAATCTCGTTAAATCATTTTTGGAGTTAAATCCTACAGAAGAACAAGTAAATGATCATGAAGTTAACTGTTATGTTTCTTTTTATAATATGTTTTAGAAAAATCATGTGGAAAAAACTTGGAAAACAAAACGAAAAGCATGTACACGTAAAATCCATCAAATGAGAACAAGTTTATCAGACAAAGAACAAGTTCAAGTACAAGGTGATGTTTCATCAATGTTCACAGGAAATAATCCACTCTTTATTGATTATAGTCAACAGCAAAGTGAAGTATCTTTTCTAGAATCATTGAATCCTGCCATGCGTACTATTATTGAAAATCGTTTAGCAAGCATGGAAAATCATACAAAACAAATTCTAGCATTCAATAACAATCCTCTTACTCAATTACAATAAGCAGCATCTAATGAGAACTAGTTTCTGTTCTAAACGCTTTGCAATATTATTTCTTTTCACATCTTTCTAAAAAATAATCTATCAATTAATATGAAACATTTCGTCTGTTTATTTCATCGATTTTACTAATATAGTCTGCTTATTGTATTAATTTATATTTCAGGTTTAGTATCCCTGATTCATTTAATATTACTTTAATAATGGATAGTCCATTTTATCAAGATTTGTGTTCAAATCACTTCAATAACACTGAAGCTATGGAACAAGAAGCGAAACAAGAAAAGAAGAAGAAGACGAAGACGAAGTGTCGTGGAAATCGAAAATTACAACGCTATCGTCGAAGATTGCGTAAACAATGTGTACAATTATCTATCAATGAAGAACTATCAACAGCTAGTGCAATCACGAAACCAAAAGAGTCAACAAGTATTGGTTTAATTGTCGATGAAACAACCGTATCAATGAAAAAATGCACAACAGTAACAGCTACAAATGATTCAGTTGATTATACTACTGTATCAGATGAAGTCTTACAACAGAAAACATCTCAAGCTTTCAATCGATCCGAAAAATTTAATAACATATTTAACCAAGTCGAAAGAATACACTTTATTCGTCAATATATTAGTTTAATTGATCAATTATCTTTTCACCAACTACAAGAAATTCAATGGAAAGATTATCAGCATATTGGTACAACAAGGAACATGTGGCATGGTCGTATGTCAAAAGTAACAGCTGATAAGTATTCTATTAGTTATACATATGGTAGATCCAAATCTCTTGTTGAACAACGTTTGAAACAAATTCAAAAACATTTGGCAGCAGCAAAAAATAATATTGTTCAGTTTGAACAAGATATTTTATTGAAGTGTGGAAACAGTAATGATTGCATATGTACAATGCAGGGGTTATCGTCGATTCTTAATCAACTAGCACAAGAAAAGCAGCAACTACTAAGACATGAATTCGAATATAAAAGAGATATTTTAATCTTGGATGCAAATGATCATCATTTACTGCAGGCGTTTTTGATTACTGAACCAAATAAGACACATGTAAATATAGAATTTATAATGCATATAATTACATTGTATACTTTCTTATTTTAAATTTACTTCAGATTATCTTAGCAAGACGTATATGGGAAGCTATCAAAGAACAGCTAATAGCTGAAGAAGGTATTGCTTTGCTACAATATCGGTCTCTATCAACATCATTACAAACAAAACCAATATCTAACTTAGTTCACGAAATGATCAACAATATCGATACTAATATTAATAATTTGAATGAAACTGTGGCAATGTCGTCATCCAAAGACTCCTTAACCCATTCACCACGATGGGGTCCACCGGTGGACCCCACTTTGCATTTCATATTCTAATCTTGAAACACGTTTAATAAGAAAACGGTATAAACCATAAGACGCAGCGCGAAAAGCTCTACAATCCTCATAGTAAAGCTTATTTTAATTGTCTAACTTTTATTTTGAAAGAAAGTAAAACTCTGTCTGACTTGTTTTATAGATTAGAAAAACATCATTTTTTCCCACACGAATGTGAAATTTCATTTTTCTTATTTCATCTTTTTATCATCTAATATGACTTCGTAAGGAAAAAGAAAATATACCACAAGATGCAACGTGAAGCACTCTACAATATACATCATAAAGCTTATTTTAATTGTGTACAAACCTCGGCGTAAAATACTATACTCTCCAAGCAACTTCAAAATTTGGTCGCACACAGCTTTGCATTTTATTAAACACAAAAAGTATTCAATTGAAATAGGTTTTATGGTATAGTTTGTAGAATTTTTCACGCTGCATCTTGTAGTATATTTTGTTTTCTAATAAAGCGTATTTAGAAATGTAATTTTCTATGAAAATTGAATCGTGGTGAATGGGTTAACAAATGAAATCGATAAATTGACATCATCGAAGAATGATATTATTCATCATGCAATTTCAACTCTCGAGAAAAAAATTGAACATACTAACACAATCATACAAACTAAACGCAACAAATTCTTAAAAAATAACAGATTCATGGAATCAACATCACAATGGCAACAGATGGTACTTGATGCTATTGAAAATCGACGGCTACATATGATCAACCGTGCAAACTATATCAAAACCCATAAATTAACGACATACTACAATAGAAGTAACAATGTATTACAATAAAAGAAAGAACCGACAACACGCCTTCAAAGAAACAGATTAATATTTGGCATACTTTGTACACTTCTTTTAAACAAAAATAATCATTTTTTCCTTAAAACAACTGACTCCTCAAGTTCCTTTTCACTGTTAAAATTTAAAACCAAATTAATTCGTATACTTTTTCTACTTCTAGATATATCATCCATTCCTTTAACTATCATTATTCAAATCACGATAAATTGATGATGTGAAAGTTTAAAACTAAATTTCGGAAGATCTTCTAGGTCTTTTTCAAATTAATTTTAAATTTCTTAAATGTTGTTATGCAGATTATCTTTACCGCCTGATGATTCATCATTTAATTGTGATGAAAATCGATTTGTGGTAGTTATGTTTAAAAACTCACCCTCACCCCTCACCCACCCTCACCCTGAAACTCTGTCAAATAAGAGATTTTTTCACAGTGAAATATTTTGATATTCTTTAAAATAGTGTGAATAGCATTCTCATGTTTTACAAGTCCTGGTGGCATAAATCAATTATATATATGTATGTACATGCATTCAAAACATATTTTTCGTTTATTCTTCCTCTGCTTTTAAGAAGAACACGAGACGAGTACAAGAAAAGAATCAGCGACATTTTTTCATATTCTTTCGAACCTCGATTGAAGCCTATAGATTCAATTGCGTTGTATTTTTCTCGCTCTGTAAGTAATACAGTTATTTACCGTCCAACTCTTTTTTCCACATTAAGAATAAATGTACACATATGCCTCGTAATTGCTACACACCACTAAGATTGACTGTGCATGACATATACATTACAAGATGCATACGTATTTTTCAGAATGATTTGTTCCGTAGAAAGATTCGTGTTAGAAAAGTTTTTTTACCGATGCTTTTGTCTTCGGCTAAAAGTAGTAACGAAAGGATAAAAACTAACTATTTAGTACTTGTGTTGCAGTATATTAAATAAGACTTCTATCACTTCTAATCTTCAAGTAGTAAGAATATTTTTGTACAAATGTCACCTCATTTTAGTGGTAGGCATATGTGAGAAAAAATTAAAATTTATTCGAAATTTGCGTTCGAAACTTACATCTAGATACCTAGCCGTCACTCACTGAACTCAATACTGGTATTTACGAATTCAAAAAACAAACAAATTAAGAGCAAACTCAGATTACTATGGCTCAAAACATAACTCAAGAACTCAAGGAGCAAGGGATGCCATTAACAGGTAAGTGTATATAAATACAGTTTAGGAGATTATTTGCAGAAAACAGTAGATAGTGGAGTCTGATATTAATTTTTTTACGAGCTTATAAGGAACTACTTGACGTTTTCATTTAGGAACGACAGACACTCCAATGTCAGACAACACATCATCATCTTCTGCAAAAAAATGCTGTGCTAATACATATGGGTACTGTCTGTATTTTCTTCTTGGTTTTTTTCTTCTTAATATTTGTATTGCTCTTATTCTTGGTGGTGGTCGTTTTGGTCTGCTTCCTGTTATTAGTCGAACTGGTAGTTTTATTTGTCTCAGTCTTGCTGGTCTTGCTCTTGTTGGTCTTCTTGTGGCGACAATACATTGGAAAATTATTCAATCATAAAATGCATCGACCTACGTACACATATATCGATGACATAAACCACTATGTTAATGTCAGTTTCTCTTTTTCAGCAGACGGCTTTTCAAAAATAGTCTCAAGCATAGCCAGCGTGTTTTTCAATAAATAATTAATGCAGAGTTTTCTATGGTTCACGTATTTCGTAGTTTTTATTGGAAGACAGATACTAGTCAGCCCTCTACATAAGGGTTTTAAGGGCAAAAACTAAAACTGAAACAAAATATTACCATAAATAAATGTGGAAACTTCGAATTGTATCCGAGAGTTATGTGTACTTCAAAAAGTGTATAAGAAAACGTAGAGAAATCCTAAGGAAGGTCAGTATTTTACAATAACTCAGGAAAGGCTCAGTCGATTAGGCTCATCTTCGAACTCGACTAAGATCTTAATGGGACTAAACTGTGTAGAAACCTTAACATCGATTGGACTCTTCTTTCAAAAGTTATCGTGTAAACGGACGAACGGCCGGACACACTAACCGATTATTGTAGTACATTTACTTTTTCAGTACACTAGGAACACACGCATGTTGAGTTACTGTGAGCCACATTGTATGCAGTTCTATCCGATGATCACTGACACTACTCTCAAAGTGATATAATATCTTAACACATTCACCACGATTCATTTTTCTTGGAAAAATCTCCGAAATATCCACATCTCTCAAGAGTTAACTTCAGATAAATGCACTTAGTGACCTTTTTATTATCTTCCACTGATTATTCATCGTCCTTTTCTTCATATCATCACATAATGAGTCATAACAAAATTCCAGATTTTTCCTCCGTATTCTTATCTTTGTTATGTGATGTATAAAAGCGTTCGAAATTTCGAAATAGATAGGTCACATGTCGTTCGAAGAAACTGATACAGAAGAAAGCGCTACCTCACTAAGTGAAGTAAGCTCTTTAGGTGATGATTTTGATGAAATGCAGCATCTTGAGGGTGTGAGGGTGGGTGAGGGTGAGTAGTAACTGCCATGACCGGTTTCGAACCTACTAAAGTTCGTTATCAAATGGCTTAGAACTTAAAAAAGACTAAAATCAAACATTTTCAACTTAAAAAAGCTAAAAATCATTTAAATTCAATCAAAAGTCATTTAAATGATGAGGAAATTGTGAAGCAGTGGTTACTCACTTCATAAATGATATTCAATGGAAAGTCGGATTAAATAGGTTGTTTTGGGAAAGGGAAGAACTTAAACGTTTGGTTGTTGGATTATGTCATGGGATTGAAGATTGGTATGTTGTGGAACATTATCATGGTTGTTTGATGGACAGTGGTTGACTGAAAATAATTTGTTTTAAGTGATGTGGGTTCATGAATGGGTTTCATAGATCTAAAAGTAAAATAAACGTTATAAGACGTAAGCACGTCTGAATTTGATATGAAAAATGGCTAAGAGCTTAAAACGGATTGAATGAAATAATATGTATTTTGGAAAAAAGTTCAGGTGTATGATGAGTTTCGAGGTTACTGCTAGGAATCGTTCATTGATGGTGGACGATCTGTTAGATTAAAGGATGCGTATAGAAGGAATTGTTTCGCATAGTGTGCACGTTCGATCATATGTTGTCGACGTTGTTCGATAGCTTCATTCACACGGTTCTGGTATTCAAATGTTGACTCCATATATCTATTTTGAGCTAAAAATTCGTTCTGTTCTGTATGTACAATTGTTTGGATTTGTTCATGTTCTTTCTGATGGATAAAGATAGCTTCTTGAATAATATCTTTCTTCAAAGTTATCAGTGTTTCAATGGTGTTCGATGAAGTATAAGTTGTTGTTGTGTCGGTTAATGGATTATTGAGTTTTTGAATATTTGTATTAATATTATTTATGATTTTATGAAGTAGATCAGATGTTGGTATTAATGTTGTAGATATAAGACGATGTTGTAACAAAGCAGCATCTTCTTCTATTACCAGTTGATCCTTTGTTGCTTTCCATATATGCCTTGCCCATGTGATCTGTAATAAATTCAAAGGAGAGATGTATGATTTTATCAGAGTAAATATTATAGTTGATATGCTCACATGTCTATTGTTTGGTTCAATATCGAAGAAATGTTGAAGTAACAGATGGTCAGTTGCATTGAAAAGTAACATTTTTCTTTGATATTCGAATTTATCTTTTACAATTTGTTGCTTTTGTTGAACTAATTGATAAATAATTGTGCTTAATTCTTTCAATACGCTTAAACAATCTTGATTTCTTTCACATTCTGATAAGATCTTTTCTTCAAACTGTGTTATTGCATCTTGTGCTTGTTTTAAATGTTTTTCGATTACTCTGATACGTTCTTCAATCACAGATTTCGATCTTCCGNGAAATCTAGAAGAAGAGAAGAATTTTATTATGCGTGATGCTTATCTGAGTTAAGTATTGGAAATGGTTGAAAGTTTTGGATGAATGTAGCGAAGTAAGTTATATTTAGAAGAAAATTTAGTTGTATTATCAGTTGAAGTTATTTCTACGAATCATTTGCTTATTGTTGATGATCTGTTGGATTGAATGATGTTGATAAACGGAATCGTTCCATATAATTTGCACATTCAATCATATGTTGCCGACGATTTTCAATAGCTGCATTCACACATTTCTGGTATTCAGAGGTTGTTTCCATGTATGTTTTGAACGAAAAACTTGTTCTGTTCTTTTTGTATAATTGTTTGGATTTGTTCATGTTCTTTCTGATGGATAAAGATAGCTTCTTGAATAATATCTTTCTTCAAAGTTACCAGTGTGTCAATCCTGTTCGATGAACTATAGGTTATTGTTGAGTTTTTGAATATTGATATTTATATTATTTATGATTTTATGAAGTAAATCAGATGGTGGTATTAATGTTGTAGATAGAAGACAATGTTGTAGCAAAGCAATATCTTCTCCTATTACCAGTTGATCCTTTGTTGCTTTCCATATATGTCTTGCCCATGTGATCTGTAACAAATTGAAATCAAAGAGAAATATGATTTGATCAGAATAAATATTGTAGTTGACATGCTCACATGTTTACTGTTTGGTTCAATATCAATGAAACGTTGAAGTGATAGATGGTTAGTTGCATTCAAAAGTAACATATTTCTTTGTTATTCCAATTTATCTTTCATAACTCGCTGCTTTTCTTGTACTATTTGACAAATAATTGTGTTTAATTCTTTCAATACGCTTAAACAATCATGATTTTGTTCAAACTGTGCAATGACATTTTGTGCTTGTTTTAATTGTTTTTCGATTACTCTGGTACGTTCTTCAATCACAGCTTTCGATCTTCCATATGTATGGCATATTGAATACTTTTCAGCAGATGGTTTAGACACATGACCATGCCAAATATCCTGTATCAAACCAATATGAAGATAATATTTCTATTGAATTTCTTTGAATTGTTGAAAACAAACTTGATCAATTAAACTAATATATTGACGAATAATTTGAATCCTTTTATCTGCACTAAACAAATCATTAAACTTTTGTGAAAGATTGAAAGCCGGAGCTGTTCTTTGATATAATATCTCAATAGATACAATAGTATAATCAACTGAATCATTTCTTTATAGATCCAAATTGATCCACTTGATGAATATTATTTTTGTTGATAAAACTGGATTGTTTATTCCTACTGCATTTCGTTTTTTTTGTTATTTTATACTGAACTGATTTGACTGAAAGAGTAGTTGCTTGCGACCAGTAGTTGAACCACTTATTGTCTGTTCATTTCGTTGAAAGTTTTCTCATACTACTGATGATTCTGTATTAACTGATGTATTCATACCTCGTTGGCGAAGCTCTCCGCGATATCGTTGTAATTTACGATTTCCATGAAATTTCTTCTTCTTCTTCTTCTTTTCATTTTGTTCTTGAGCACGTTCTAATTCTTGTTCTATAGTTTGATGATCTTGATAAAACGAAATATTCATGCCAATTGAGCTATTGTTATTACTATTGATGTTCATCACTATAGCAGCATAATATTAATGATAAATAAATATATATGAAATAATTGAAAATATATTAACTGGTAATACAACTAAATTTTCTTCTAAATAC